AGGGATTGCATTTGTAGATTGCTTTGGGTAATATTGACATTTTAACAAAATTAAGTCTTCCAATCCATGAACATGGATTGTGTTTCCATTTATTTATGTCTTCTTTAATTTTCTTTCAGCAGTTTTTTTGTAGTTTTCATTGTATAGTCTTTTACCTCCTTGGTTAATACCTAATTATTTATACTTTTTAATGCTATTTTAAATGAAGCTGTTTTTGTAATTTCCTTTTTGGATTTTTTTTTATGTGTGTATAGAAATGCAACTGATTTTTGTGTATTGAATTTGTATCCTGCTACTTTGCTGAATTCATTTATTCATTCTAACAGCTTTTTTGTAGAGTCTTTATGATTTTTCTACATATAAGATCACATCATCTGCAAACAGATCATTTTACTTCTTTTCCAATTTAAATGCCTCTTATTGCCGCCCCACTTCACCCCCTAGTTGCTCTGGCTAGAATTTCCATTACTGTTTTGAATAGAAATAGTGAAAGCAGGCATCCCTGCCTTAGTCCTGATCTTAGGATAAAAAGGCTTTCTTTCTTTCACTGTTGAGTATGATGTTCAGTGTGGGGTTTTTATATATGATCTGCATTGTGTTGAGATAATTTTTTTCTATTCATAATTGAGTGTTTTGGGTCATGAAATGGTTTTGAATTTTGCCAAATGCTTTTTCTGCATCAATTGAGATGACCATGTGGGGTTTTTCTCCCTTTGTTCTGTTAATATGGTATATTTTATGGATCGTTTTCCATATATTAAGCCATTCTTGCATTCTAAGAATAAATCCCACTTGGTCATGGTGTATAATCCTTTTAATATGCTGCTGAATTCTGTTTGCTGATATTTTGTTGAAGATTTTTGCATTCGTGTTCATGAAAGTATTGATCCATAGTTTCCTTTCTTGTGTCTTTGTTTGGCTTTGGTACCAGGGTTATGCTGGCCTCAGAATGAGTTAGGAAATTTTCTCTCCTCTTCAATTTTTTGGAAAAGTTTGTGAAGAATTGCTATTATTTCTTCTCTAAATATTTGGTATGGTTCATCAGCAAAGCTATCAGGGTTGGCTTTTTTTGTTGGGAAATTTTGATTTACTGATTTAATCTCGTTAGCTGTCTAGGACAGATTCCTCTCATTTTATTCTTCTTTTCAGAATTGTTTTAAGTATTCAAAGTTCCTCTGCCTTTCATATAAATATCACAGTAGTAGTGTCTAGATCTGCAAAAACTCTTGCTAGAGTTTTTATAGGAATTATATTAAACTTTTATGTCAGTTTGGGGAAATTGACATATTTAATATGTAGTCTTTCAATATGTAGACATGATATGTCTTTCCATTTATTTAGGTCATCTTTGGTTTCTTTCATTAGCATTGTATGGTTTTCAACATAAGTCTTGCAAATATATTGTTAGATTTGCATTTAAGTATTTCACTCTTGAGTAATTGTAAATGGTATATTTTTCATTGCACTGTCATGTGTTCATTGCTGGTATATTGAAATACAAATTTATTTTTATATGTTTGTCTTGTAACCTGAAACTTTGCTGAATTCACTTATTCTAGGAAGTTTTGTATAGATTCCTTGGGATTTTGTAGACAGTCATGTCATCCTTTTATCAAATTTTAACATGTCTTTTTTGCTTCACTTTTTTTAACATTTTTATTGATTTATAATCATTTTACAATGTTGTGTCAAATTCCAGTGTTCAGCATAATTTTTCAGTCATACATGGACATATGCACACTCATTGTCACATTGTTTTCTCTGTGAGCGACCATAACATTTTGTGTATATTTCCCTGTGCTATACAGTATAATCTTGTTTATCAGCATGTAAAGCACTTAGAAAAGTCCCTGGAACACACTACAGGCTTCATAAGCTTTTGTTATTATTAAGGTCATCTTCTTGATCATTATCATTATTGAAATCTCTAATTCTGATGATCTTACATATATTGAGAACAATGAATGTAAATGCCTAATTTTATAACTGACATGTAGCAGGAACATAGTAAAAATGATACCTGTGTTGTAACTGTTAAGCGTTCATTTTTCTTATCTAGCTGCCTAATTCTGTATTTGCTTGAGGAATCTTTGTTTCAGGAAAAAAACAGAAAATGAAATAGGACATTGAGAGTGTCCTATTTTGTCATCAGTATTTCTAATGTATAAAGTATATTTCTAATGCACATTTCTATAATATCTATTTATTTTCTCATATGTGCTAGACAGTGTTCTAGGTGCTTTACACATACTATATTACTTCTGGACCTTAAAATAACCTTCTGTTTCAGTGAAAGTTCAGAACAGGGAGGTATTTTGGATAATTTCAAAAGAAATGCTTCTTTTATTTGAAGGAAACACTAACATGATTTCCTTAACAAATTTTTCTTAGATTAAAATTTGAGTCTTGTTTAAAAACATTATTAAAAATGGATTGATGAAAATCTGATATACTAAATCCAGTAGTGTGAATAGTCTTGATTTAACTTTTGGTAGCTTGCATTAATTAATTTCATATATATAGATGAGTTAAACTTTATCACAAATTGGGACTAGAAGATCTGCTTCCACGAAGTCCCACTCACATGGATGGAATTCAGTGCTGGCTGTAGGCAGGAGACCTCAGTCCCTAGATGGCCCCTAGCTCCACATGGACCTCTCCAGAGTGGGTGATTTGAGAGAAAGTGGAAGCTGCAGTGTCTTTTATGACCTAACCACACTCGATCATTCCCCCAGTATCAGGGCTGTTTTGGGACAGTGACACCAGGTTGTGAATACCAGGCAGTGAGAATAAGTAAATGTAAATCCTCACATCCAGACACATAGAGAAACCAAAGACAAAGAGGAGTAAAAAGTGGAATGAGAAAAAATAGTCAATCCAAAAAAAGCCAAGAAGGAAAGAAAAAGAAACAAACAAAAAGTGAAACAAATCACAAAACAAGAAGATAGTTTTAAACCCAAATATATCAATAATTATATTAAATGTTAATGGTTTAAAGGATCAAAAGAGAAGATTGTAGATATTTGATGTTTGCAAGGGATACATTTAAAATATAAGGATACAGGGAAGTTTAAAAGAATGAAGAATGATATAAGTACTAAAAACAACCCCCAAAAGCTGATATAGTTAAAGGAAAATCAGACAAAATATATTTTAAGGCAAAAGTCTTAAAAGCCTGGAGGTAAAGAGGGTATTTCATTCTGACGAGAGATTAAATTCACCTAAAGGATATAACAGTTGGCAGTGCACCTACTAATAACCTAGCCTCAAAATGTGTAAGACAGAAACTAACAGAACAACGAAGAGAAATAGATCCACAATCAGTAAAGATAATAGGTTTTAAACAGCCTTCTTAACAGGCTTGACTAATGGGTGATAGGACACTGTTCCCAATAATTATAAAATACACTTTCTTTTTAAGCAAACATGAAATATTCAGTACAATTGACCATATGCTGGGCCATAGCAAATCTCAAGAAACTTCAAAGGATTGAAATCTTACATAGTTGGAGTCCTCAGAGGACTCCTGTGTTGGGGATCCGTTTGAAATTTGTAGTCAGGAATTTAAGGTGAATCCTCAAAGTTTTTCTCACCAGCAAGGTCAAGTGGTTTGGGTATAAGGGTAAGAGAAGGTGATTAGTTAACTAACGAGGAATGAGATTCCCCAGACCATAACAAGCAAGCGAGAGATCAGGGAGTTAAGGATGTTTCCAAGGGCATTTAATATTGAATCCTGGAATCTAAGCTGAACAAGAAGATAAATAAGGACATGATGATGATGGATACTGGGAAAGTGGTAAGATTAATGGATTCAAGTGGGTATTGATGAAATAAGAGAATTGCTGGAGTACATGAGCTGGAAGGATAGAAGGTGATGCTCAAGTGTTGGGGTGCTTAAAATCAAGATTTTGGACATGACGCAGCTACTGGGGCTGATGATCAGGGGTATGACTGTGGAATGGGAAGTTGAAATGGCATGTTGGACATGATTGTGATGAGGAGACCTGAGAGGTCACAGCATTAGATACCTCATCCACATGATTATTGACATCACCAAGAGCAGTTTAGGAGTAGAATGGACCATTGCAAGGTTCTGAAGCCTTCAGTTAAAGAGTGAGGGAGTTGAGGGTCAGTAGATGACATAAACGAGGTAGGATAGGAAATGATGAAGTCTGATGGCAAGAAATTCAAATGTATTCAGGTTTTTGAAGGGAGAGGAGAAAAAGGGTTTAGGTGGAAGCAAGAAGCAACATTCCCCATCTACAGGAGATGTTGGAAAAGAATGAGAGGGCTTCCAGGGACAGCTGAGTTTGAAGTTTGGAGAACCTTTCAGGAGAAGGTTGAAGAATAGAGAAATTTTCACTCTGTGAAAACTAGCCATTATCATTGTTGTCATCATCATCATTAATATTAGATTTTGTGATTAGCTGTTGTGCAATCCTGTTCTTACTTTTGGACACTTGAGTAAATTTTATGCTGTTGTATTGAGATGTCATTTATTATTGAAAATGTTTTATTTTCTGTAAAAGTTTGGATATCAAGCCTGTGATAATATCAAAGTATTTATTATCCTATCCTACATATTGGAAAAGCATGTTTAATCTCACTTGTGAAATAACTACCATATGCCAGGAACTTACCTATTGCTGGAAATTCAAAGACATGTAGGACATCATATCTTGATAACTCTTCTCAAAGCGTCTGGTTCAGTGAGCTCACCAAGATATAATTTGTGCGTGCACATGTGCTTCCTTACACATACACCCTCCCTCATGCTATTAGCAGTGGTGGTCCCCCTGAAGACAGTGAGGAAAGTGAAAAGGGCAGGACACTAAGGGGAACTTTTCATTTTTAGCCTGTGTTCTTTGAATCTTCTATTAAAATGCATATGTAGTTCGTTAATAAAAATATTAAGAAAATTTATGGAAGCTACAGTTTTTCTTTGTCGTAATTAGAAGAAGAAATTGTGTTTTTTAAGCCTAAGCCTTTGTTTCTTCTAGGCAGGGATACCGATGGGAGCAATACCAGCAGGAGGAATGCCTTACCTGGGACAAGCACCGTTCCTGGGAGTGCGTCCTCCAGGCCCACAGTACACTCCAGACATGCAGAAGCAATTTGCCGAAGAGCAGCAGTAAGAGACCTCGGGATTCACGGATAAGGATACCTGGTGGCAGTTAATTTTACAGTTGTCAGGTGTTCTGTAGTGCAGATGTGAAGCTGAAACAGTCACAGTGCCTTTAAAACTCTTTAAAATACTTGTATTACAAGTTTAAAGCCAGAGGGGACCTTAGACCTTCTAACTCAACCGTCTGATTTTACATCTGGGGCAAGTCAGGTCCAAAGAAATGAGCCACTTGTCAATGCAGGTTACACAGTTATTAGGAGAACCGAGTGCAGGCTCCTGATCCCCTGAGCCGGTGTCCCTTCTCATGTTCGGTGCTGCTTCCCCAAGTAGAAGCTGCTCTTTTGTATGCAGAGCAAAGGCTGTTTTTATTTTGTCTACCTCCCTATGTGTTTGAGATTCCTTTTGCATGCAAAAAGTTATCTCCTCCCCTTGCAAATTAGACAAATAAATTCATGTCTATAATTTAGGTAAATCATTTTTAGACTCATTTTGTATATTTTGAAATTTATATAGTAGGGGAAAAGGACTGTCTTGAGAAAAATTCGATACAACTACCACTGAAGTTTTTAGTTCTAGAAATGCAGGATGGTATCGCTAAAGCTGGTAGTAGAAGAAATATGAATATAACAGTTGATAATCCCTAAAGCCGGCTCTTTACTAGGTTGTTTTTCCTTCAGAAAACGATTTGAACAGCAGCAAAAACTCTTAGAAGAAGAAAGAAAAAGACGCCAGTTTGAAGAACAGAAGCAAAAGCTGAGACTTCTGAGCAGTGTGAAACCCAAGGTAATAGGCTCCACAACACGCAGTGTACCCCCTGTACACACCTCTTCTCACTCACTCAGCGGATTTTGTTACGTGGGCATCAGCCCAAGCTGAGGCTGTGGTTCATTCATTTTGGTTTTGTCTTAAGTCCAAAAGTGGGGGGGGGGTATCTAGCTCGGTGGTAGAGTGTGTGCTTAGAGTGCATGAGGTCCTGGGTTCCACCCCTGGTACATCCGTTAAAATCAAACTAACAAATAAATAAAATAGACCTAATTCCCCCCCGCCCAAGAAAAACCCCAAACAAATGTGAAGGAATTTTCTCTTTCTGTAAAGATACTTTATTGTTGAAGAGAATGGATTATCAGCCATTATCTTCACAAGTCTTTTTTGCTACCACTGAAATGTTTGTAATCATTTCCTGGGAAGCATTAATACTGGATACTTAATGTCTACCAGCTGTTCCCTGAAGTATTTATAAATGGACTTTTAATAAAATTCTATAGAGTGTCATTTTATGCCTTTGCTTTATACACTTGTCAGTGTTTTTCTGACTTGGAGAATTCACTATCCAAAGTAGGTGGTAAAAATACTGGAAATAGACTAATAGCTGCACTTTTCTTTTAATATTTATATGGATTTAGGATGAAGTGTGAGAGGTAAGTAAAGAAATATATATGTTTTATTTTCTCTTAGACAGGAGAGAAGAGTAGAGACGATGCTTTGGAAGCCATAAAAGGAAACTTAGATGGATTTTCCAGAGATGCTAAGATGCACCCTACTCCAGCATCACACCCTAAGAAACCAGGTAGCTTTATTTTTAAAATTTTGTTTTGTTAGAAGGTAATTTGTAGTCTCTATATGTTTGATTGACCATCGTGTGTGTCTTCTAGTAAATATCAGTATAATAACTTTATTTGTGAATCTTTTGTATAAATGAGTATGTTAACGTTAGTAAAAATCCATTCACTCAGAGCAACTGTAATAAAGGAGTTTATCGTTTCATTCTCATTATTTTAAAATAATTTTACTTTTATGATCTAGCTCAGATTTTATTCAGTGTGGTTAAACTTACAAATTTTCTAAATGACCTCTCTAAAAAGTCACGGTTTTAGTAGTATTTCTCATGAAATTTTAAGTACACTTCTTTATAGTTTTTATTATCATTTGTCATCAGATAAGCAGAAGAAAAGTACCTAATAGAGCAGGGTAAGGGGACATTTTGGGGGTTTTTCTGCACGTGTTTTAAACATTTAGCAGTTGAAATGAGTCTTGTCTTCACATAACTATCACCACATCCTCTTTTAAAATTTAGTATCTTGGGGAGGGTATAGCTCAAGTGGTAGAGCACATGCTTAATATACTCAAGGTCCTGGGTTCAATCCCCAGTACCTCCTCTAAAATTTAATATCTTGACCCATTCTCAGCTCATTTCAAGACTAACATACCATTATTAGGTAAATAGTTTTCATAAATCATTCAGCCAAGTACTATTTTCTGCTGATATACATTACATTGATAAATTTTATCTTAAACCCTTATAATACCTTTTATAGATGATATCAGGAGGGGGTAATCTAATCCCGGCACAGTAACCAGTTTTTGACAGCTTTTACTCTAATTTCACTTGTTAGATTATATACTCAATTATCATTCCAAAAATATGTCCCAAAGTAAAATACACACTGAGACTGAAAAGAGAATGGATATTAGCAATCAGATTGAGTTCAAAAAGAAATGTACCTAAAAATGAAAATTATAAGCTGAATAAGCTAGTCAGGAAGTAATTTAAGAAGAGACATTGGAGTGATAAAACTGGAGCCAGCATGGAACTTAGGAAAAGGAGAAGGTGGCAGAGAGAAATGGTCATTGTTAGGTAACATACTGTTCTATCCAAATAGAATGCCCACTTTGGACAACAACGTCTGGTTTAACAACCTCATCGTTAATACATTGGTGTTTTGATGTTCAAATAATCTCATGAGTTTAATCAACGGGCATGCAGTTAGCTGTTTCTAGATAACTGTTTCATGCTTAGCTAGAAAAATATTTTTCTGAAGCAAACAAAGAAATATCCAGAGCTTCTTAAACCTAAGCCTAAAGTATATAAAAAGAGCTTCCAGCCTTTTTACCACCAAAGACATCTTTTAATTTTTCCCCATAGACTTTATCTGAAAGTATTGAATGCAAACTGTATCACATGATTTTTTATACTTCGTATTAATCATTATGTAACTACAAGAGTTTATAAGCCAAAACATTACCACATAGAATTAACATAATTCCAGCCAAATGCAAAGAAACACTGGTTAGCCTAAACAGTCAGGGTCCATTTTAAAAATATTCATAGTAGCTCTTAGTTTTCTGCTGGTGCTGGTCTGAGAACCCAGATTGAGACCTCAAATCCACACTCCCAGTAATCATTATTTGGGAGGGTTGAGATTCATTATGGCATGGCTTTTTTCTTTTTTAAACAAAATTGATTAAGGTAGTCATTTCACATGCTCATTTTGCATCTTTCATAGAACTTTCCATATTCCGAGGTTTCTTTCACAGAGCCAAAAGAGAATGGGTCCAAAAGAGAAGCGCATAGTGTCTCTGTATTTCAGATGAGAGCCTTTTTTTTTTTAAAGGACTCTCCTTGTGACATTAGACTTTAGTAAATGTTAAATTAAAAGCAGTTAAAAATGTGAAGAAGCAACAATAATAGTGTTGTTAATGAGCCTTGTATTAAATGTAGTCCCTGTAGGTTTGTTACGTAAGTGAATCTCACATTTAACAGTAAAAAGCCACCGTGATGTTTACATCCTTTAGAGGCATGGATCTTTTAAACATAGTTCTCAGTCACGGTTTACTTTTCTTAAATTGACTGTTGGGTTGTTTGACTTAACACTGTATGGTGTCCTAACTTGGATGATTTTCACAGGAAAGTATCACTTTGGTAATGTGTTTAATGTTCTTGTTGCCTCTGTAATTTTCATTCCTCATATGGGAACTCATTCCTCATATGAAATGTGAACTATGCTAAGTGCATTCATTAGACATAATATATCAAAAACTGCAGGTATGTATCATGTATTGTTTCTTACTGGCACAATGAAATTTAATCATCAGAGTATGTAACTATCTAAAACGCATTCAGTAGCATATAGGTAGATTTTCTTACTTCTGGTATATGTTGATTTGAGAGAATATTATCCAGATAAACAGATCACTTGGGTTTCAAAAGTAATCACCACTTTGATGTAAATTATTAGTGATTTCAGGGAAAAAATAGGAGGAAAGAAATTTTGAGTTTTATGTTTTCCTATTTTTGAACCAGATGCAAGATAACTATAAAATCTCTTTCTAAAAAGACACAAAAATTGTGTATAAATGGGCATCGAAGTGTTTTGCATTCGTTGTGTAATTCCATTTTACTGTTGTTCGTGTGATTTCTTGTTCACCTCCAGTATTTATGTTTCAGTATATTCTTTTGGAGTTGTACTACATCTTAATTTCTTTTCCCCTGTTGATTTTCATTTCTGTGTGTTTCATTGCCATTTTCCATTTTGCAGATTATCCCACATCTCATTCTACTAAAACTGTCTTTCTTGATGAAGAAGAATTCAGTGACTTTATGCAGGGGCCTGTTGAAGTTCCCACATGTGGGCCTTCTTCCACTTTTCAGTCTTTCCATCCCACCACCCCACTTGGCCAGTTGCATACACAGAAGGCTGGACCACAGCCTCTCCCTCCAGGTCAGATTCCAGTGTCTTTCGCCTTACGTGGTGTCCCTGGGCAAATTCCTAATTTCTCTACTGCTTTAGCCTCATACAGTGTACAGAAAGCAGGTAACTCCTAGAATATTAATGAAAATACTGAGATAACCTAGGGTAGTTTATTTCACTTACATAACTAGAGAAATAAGTACCTGAATATATGAGTGCTATTGAATTTCACCAAAATATCTAGATTTTTTAAATTCCCGTTCCAGAAAAGTGATTTGAAACTCTTGCTCCTAAGTTAGGACCTATTTAAACCAACTTAGAACTTTAAAAACAAACTGATTTTTTCAGGAGGTTACTCTTGTTTGGGGAAATCACCAATCTCATTTTCTTAAGAGTAATGAGCCAGCGAAAGCTGCTTTAGAAAGTGCTGTCTCTGGTACAGTGATAAAGCACTTGGGTATCAGAAGCCCAGGTTCTTCATTTACTATCAGTTTGTCCTTGGACAAATCTTTAAACATTTCTGTACGTCAGTTTTGTCACTTGTGAAATAATGGGGGAGGAGGCAGTTATGCCTTCTGTCTTGAGGCGTAGAATGGTGATGAGAGGGGTCTTAGCAGACATGTACTTAGTCCAGACTTTCTCAGTTGACAGATGCAGAAATAGACAATAGTTAGTAGAAGTGCCTGTATCTTGGGTAGGTCTCCAGATTTCTAAGGTAGTACTCCTTCCGCTATCCTATTCTGCCTGCTGTGTCATAGAATTCTTGAGAATCAAAGTAGATAACAATGTTGAAGTTCTCTAAAATCTCTAAAGTCTCTCAAATCCTATACAAATCTGTGAACTTGAATTATTTCAAAATTGATGTTTGGCAGAGCCTTCCCTGCAGAATCTGGGGGTGGAAATGGATGATTAGAAACTTGCAGTTACATTCAAATAATCCTTCATGCTGTTTGTTTAGGCCCTTCCTTGGAGGAGAAGCTCCTAGTATCTTGTGATATAAGTGCATCTGGGCAGGAACAAATTAAATTCAATTCTTCTGAAGTTGGGCACAAAGCTCTGGGCCCAGGTTCCTGTAAGAACCATCCCAGTTTAACGGCCAATAACGGGGGTGCTGTAGATGGACGTGTCAGTGGTACCACTACCACAGAGGCAGAAAAGACTTCAGACCAAAACCTGTCCATTGAAGAGAGTGGTGAGCTCATAAAATACTCAGCAAAAAGTTCATTTAACCAAATGTTGCTTGAATGCTAACACCTTAAGCATTAATCTTAAAATGAATGCTGCTGGATTTTGCTAATTGAAATTTTGCTTAAAATATATTTAATGCACTCTTCTCTAATTAACCCCTACGATTTTGCTCTGAATTCTTTCAACACACTATTATTCCTTTAAAAAAATGTTTTTGATAACTAGTTTTTTTAATCAGAATCATTCCTGATTTAAAATTTCTTCTATTTTATAAAAACTCTTTTTCCTTCTCTTCTACTTTGTTCTTCCATAAGGTTGAAAAGTTAAAATTTAACTGGAAAAGTCACCAATGAGAATATAGTTTGACTTCTCTTAAATAAATCAAACTGCCTAAAAGATCCACATTTTAATAAACTGAACTTGCTGAGATGAATTACAGTGTAGGCAGCACAGGAGGCAAACTTTTAGAGGCTATTTTACTGGACAAAGTAAAAAACAAAAAATTTAAACAAAAATCCTATACATCAAAGGCAGCAGTGTCATATTCAGGTTAAAAAAAAAAATCAGACTTTGGAAAGAAACATTAAAAGCTGCAGGTGAAGCATGGACAATTACATTTTTTTAAAATATGTAATTTTTAAACCACTATCATGTATTTTCCTTTAATTTGTAATATATGTGAATGATGCAAGCCTCATATAACCCAGAATATTGATTTGATACTTCTTGGGGTTGGGGGGGCTTGTTGTTTTTGGGGGGTTGGTTTTGTTTTTTAATATACACCTTAGGACATAATGTAGAGTTGTTTAGAAACCAAATATTTTAGTTATATTGGTGACTTTTTTTTTTAAGTGTCTCTAGCCAGTGCTCTTCTTGTTAAAAAACCGTGACTCAGTCTGCTTTCCCCATTTTCTGCATGGACCATTATATACATTAGGTAATGTTCTTATCTTCTAGGTGTGGGAGTGTTTCCCTCACAGGATCCTGTTCAGCCCAGAATGCCTCCTTGGATTTACAATGAGAGTTTGGTTCCAGGTAAAAAAAAGTTTCTTTGTCCAAGATTCTCATCTGGATACTTTACTTTCAGTGTTGTGGATGTAATTGTAAATGTTTACTGTTGTGGTTACGAAATATGCAAAAGGAATTGTAACTTTCTTCTTGTTTATTTTTTTGTAAAAGTACAGACAATTAAATACATCTAGTGTTTCTTAAGACTGCCTCATGTATGAAATAACTATAAATGCAGGAGAAATGTTTGGCTTTAATGTCTTATTGACCATATGCTTTTATTTCTAAAAGCTTTTCTTAGATTTATTGTGTTTTAATAGACACTGTCATATGTATTTCATAGATTAGTAATAATTTTAATAACATCAGGAATAGTACTAATACATTTAGTATAATTTCCTGAACTCTTGGTGATTAGTTTATGTATTTAAAAAATATTCTTCTATGACTTCTTTGTCATGTGATACTATATGAAGTAAAAGACCAAGTGGCATCTTACTTCACATTGGAAGGTGTTGTTTACTTTTTTCTTTGTGTATATTACTACTACTGAGCCAAAAAAAACCACCAAAGTGTATACTTTGTGGTATAGTATTCAACTGGTACAAGGAAGTAGTCTATTTAAGCCGAGGTTGATGCGCATAGAACAGTGACTATTACAGTAGCATCTGCTGATCGCTCTTAATATATTATAACTTGTTCAGTTTGCTCTGCTTTGCCAACCCCTTGAAAATTAAAGTTAATTTTCGTCTGATCTTTAGTTTTCTGGGTTGGTCGTAGACTTAATCTAGGTTGGTTCTACAGGTGATTAAATAAAACTCATGCAAGATCCCTGTAGTTCAGCTTCTTCTTAGAAGAAACTAGTAATGTCTACTCGACATCATAATCACAACTTGAAAGGCTAATTTCCCAAAACCATGCGGGACTTCAGTTGTACATAAAAATAACTGATTTTCTCCCAACTGCCCTATAGACAGTGTACATCTTTTCTTCTTCCTCTCTGTCTACATGCCAGACAAACAAAATCTAGATCTTGGTATATTTTGGGACTCTGTCCCTTTGCCACCAGCTTGTATTTCTTTCTCCCTTCTCCCTCCAAACATACATGCACACATAATTTCCTAGTCTAAATGTGTTCTTATGGCCAGCCTACTAACCTGTAGTCCCTGTTTAAATGCTAGATGCAAAATTTTTCTTTAAACATTTTTCTCTGTCTACCTTAGCCCTACTTTTCATCCCCCAAACTCTAACTAGGATGGCCAGATTTAGCACATAAGCATAAAGAACACCAAGTTTCATTTGAATTTCAGATTAACAGCAAATAATTGCTTGTGTAAGTATACCCCATGCAGTACCGATGTTCTGTATTTTATATGGCAATCCTAACTGTAACGGCCTTACACTTTGTCCTTTGGAAAGGCCATTTGACTATGGAAAAGCTCCTAACAGTCCTTTCCTTTTTTTCGAAAACTTACTCTGCTGTCTCACTGTAACTGAATATTCCTAAAGCACCTTACCCAGTGTTGTTTTTGTCTGATAGCCTTTAATTCACTGGGGCAAGAGAAAGGTGATACTGGTATAGTTCTTGCTTCCACTGCTATTTTCAAATTAGTCCCACCATCATTACTCTGCAGCTTCTTTTTTAAAGTCCAGAGCATCTTCTTATACCGTCTCCATCTTATTATTACTATCTTGTATTGAATTGTAAGATTTTCTCTTACCTTTAGCCCCAAATCTTCATCTGTAGGACCAAGCTCCAGTCTCTCTTCTGAGCTCTGGATCTTAACTCTCTGCTGGATATTTCCACTTGAATATCTGTACAGCAGTTCAAACCCTGATGTGGCTTTAGTTCTGTTAAAGCAGTTTGATCTAAGATTATTCTTGTATAAGCAGCAGTGACTAAAAAGATTAATGTGGTCTGCAGTTAATATGTTTAATTTGTAATCTGGTCTTTCCTTTACTAGATGCCTATAAGAAAATTTTAGAAACCACAGTGACTCCAACTGGAATAGATACTGCTAAACTTTATCCCATTCTGATGTCATCTGGACTTCCCAGGGAAACTCTTGGACAGATATGGGCCTTAGCTAATCGAACCACACCTGGCAAGCTTACTAAAGAGGAACTTTATACGGTTCTCGCCATGATAGCGGTAACACAGGTAGACACTGTTTCTAAGGTTAGATAAATCGTGTTTCAGTGTAAACTGAAAGAATGAATTTTTTTTTTACTACAACTTTGTGGAACTCCTTGGACATTAAAATTTAGATTGTTTTCAGGGTACACTGCTTCAAAATGTATAGTTCATATGATGTGCAGACTAGCAGAATAGTCCTTTGTTTCAAGACTGTTTTCTCTATTAACATTCTCTGACCTAACTGTAACCTTTCTGAACTTGAGAGTTAGTGAGTAATAGATGAAATTACTCTCTCTGTCCTTTGAAGTCCTTGTCTCAAATTCCTTAGATATTGACAAAATATTCTCAGTCTGATAGCAGTTTTTCTCACATTACGAAATCATGTTAAATCATTTGATTATAGTGAGATTAGCCAAACTTGTCAGAGAGTGAAAATGTCAAAATTGGTATGTGTTGGCCATTTCTTTGCTAAATATTAGATTTACATTAACCTTGTAACTTACTTTTTTGTATCAAATTCCTGAGTTTGGGGAGAGTCAGAGTGGAAACAAAGCTATAGATCTTACATTTAAGTCTCTCTTTACCAGATATAGATTGTATGTGGTTTGCAGTTTCCTAAAATGTTTCCATTTTCCTCTTGTTCAATGTAGAGGGGTGTTCCTGCCATAAGTCCCGATGCTTTAAACCAGTTCCCAGCGGCTCCTGTTCCAACTTTAAGTGGCTTTCCTATGACTTTGCCTCCTGCGGTGAGTCAGCCGACTGGGATGCCTTCAGGCCCTGTGGGCTCCATGCCCCTCAACCTTGGACAGCCTGTCATGGGCATTAATCTTGTTGGACCAGTGGGAGGAGCCACAGCCCAGACTTCCACTGGCTTCATGCCAACTTATTCTGCAAATCAGGTAAACAGAGAGGCTGTGTATATCCCAGATTATCCCTGAAAGTGAATCTGGGCAACTTTTTTTCCATGGATGCAGAAGAGTGCTGTATTATGATAGACACTGGAGGTGAAAATTAAGCAGTATTAAAACAATACAAAATTTAGTTTCTCATTATTTAAAAAACAAGAAATTTCTTAAGCCTTAAGATATTTGAATTTTTGGTTGAAAGTTTGTAGTTCTTTATCATGTATGTTCTAAACCTCAAGCTTAATAAAGCTAATTAAATTCCTAGGCTGAGTCTTTTGAGGAAGCTGCTAAACCTAAAATTAAGATGCTTTAGTTTATTTTTCAGTTCTCAGATTAGCAACTAATTTTTTTAAATGTATAACATTTAGTTTACATTCAGTACAAATGTAGGGGATAAGGTTTATTGGGTAAAGTCTTTTTGGAAGGCATATTTGGCAACAGCTGTCAAAAATCTAAGTGTCTTTATCTTCTGACCTAGCAGTCACACTATTAAGAGTCTACCTCATAGCACTTAAAAGCTCAAATTAAAAAAAATACAAGGATATTTGTTCTAGCATTCTTTGTTAGAGTAAAATTAGAAATAGCTACATGTCCCTCAGAAGAAGTAAAGTTAAATACGTTTTTGTTTATCCATACAGTGATAAACTATTTGATCATTAAAATGAATGAGATAGATATACATGTACTGCATGGAAAAGCTGTCTGTGTTATATAATTCCATTTTTAAAGCACAGAACAATATAGTGTAAGCTCACTTTTCTATAAAACAAGTGAACTGATAACAGTGCTCACTTCTAGAGCATGGGATTAGGAGTCAGTGTTCACGGTTTACTTTATACATGTATGTGATGGGTTGAAATAAGCTTGTATCACTTCTGTAATTTACAAACATATATAAAATGTTTTTTAAAGATGACATTTTCTCAGAAAGTAGTTGCTATTACCAAAGCAAAAAAGTTAGTGGAAAGAATGGCATTGGATTTCTTTTTTGCCCATTTCTTTAATATCTAGCTAAACAGAAAGTCAGGTGGATTGTGATATCTGTTTCTGCATTCTGATAACTTGTTTTGGTTAAACAATATAAAGAAAATTTGGGCTCACACAAATATATAGTTGGAAAAGAGGAGTATTTTAATAGAATTTCCAGGTAATTGTGCATATGCTTCATTGGTGCTATATCAACACTTGAAAAGAGATAGTTTCATAAAGGTTATGTGCCATGTGAAATCTGAAACCGTATCAATAAATGTATATTCTTCTTACACTGAAAAAAAAAAAGATGGCAGTTTCTCAATAATCTACCAAATATGATTCAGCTTTTTAAAAATTATATAAATTAGCTATTTAAACCAGTCTTTTACCATTTATAGAAGAGTATCTAAAAATACGAGGATTCCTGCCTTAAGCCCTTGACTAGATGTTATGTCTGAAGGATGTTCTGAAATTAAATATTTGCACCTAAATGGGAAGATTTAAAAGATAGTCTTTGAGATTGACAGCTGGGTATTTGTTATTTATCTTTTTATCAATTTGATGTTTTCTATTTAAATGTCCTCTATAAACCCAGGTGGTAAAACCAGAAGAAGATGACTTCCAAGACTTTCAAGATGCTTCTAAGTCAGGATCCCTTGATGACTCATTCAGTGATTTCCAAGAGTTGCCTGCTTCTTCAAAAACAAGTAATTCCCAGCATGGAAGCAGGTAGAAAAGAGCTGAATATAGTTAACACTGTTTTTAATAATTGAGAAAGAGGCATCCACAATGAGAAGCCCAAGTATAAGGAAGGGAATTAAGACTCCTTACTCGCATGCTTTCTTGATCATTCCCCCTTTATTCATACTTTTGCTCTTCAGACTCTCTCCTTTGTCCACCTTTAACTTCAGCTTCTGTTTCCTCCCAGTACATACCTACTTGACTTTATTTCTTTTTGCATGTGCTAAACTGGATTTATTATAGCTGAGTGCCCCTGGGCAGGGATGACTCATGTTCTTATATAAGATCCAGGTCTTCAACTGTTAAAAAGCTTTTAGGCAGGGGCACATAATTTGGTATTTTGCACTATAGTATACTATTACTTTTCCACAGAAATCATAAGTTAGAAATTAAATACGATTACTTATTCATGTCTCTCATGTTTAAGTTGAGATCTGTGGGTTTTAGGCCTTCAGATCTGTGTGCAGAGACAGTTACATAAACACTTTTCTCATGTGTACAAACCTAACTTTCAGGTACAATAACTGATTCAGTATGTTGTCAACACCTTTCTATCATTTTAAGAAACACATTTAGATACTTTTTCCACCAAGTGGAACATGTGAGGCTTTGCGTAAGCAATGTTAATGTCTTTAGTTGTTTTTGGAACTTGCTTTTATTAGGATACATATTCTATTTCTCTTATGTTCCCATTTGAGCAATTTCATTCATCTTTTGTTTTAACCAGTTGACTATTTCTTCATCAATGCTTCCTGCATACACTGTGAGAAGAATTAAGGGCCAGGTGTTACAGAGAATTACAAATTAGGGAAGGAGTTATTCTCCTGATTTTAAGAATACATGAAACACTTGTAAATGACACATAGGAGAAACATGCGAGGGGTGTGACTGTAAAGTACTGGGAGTTCCAAG